GATGCTTCAGGAATAAATCAATGAAAACATATGATTTTTTTATTCTTTCAGTTTACATTTTAAATGTGGTAAAGTTTATTGGTTTATAAATTACGTAATTAGGCTGAAATTTATCTGAAAATGATATGTTTTCAATTTTGATACATTTAAAGAGATGATGAAGAAAATTAATAAATTGATTTCTTTGTATTCTTATATAAGATTATAAATATCTGAAAAGATAAAGAAAGCAATCGAAACAGTAAGCCTAAACATGTTATCAGACTTTAATAAAGTTTCGGATCCTGCCTCAACGAGAATTGCCTTCTCCCTTACATTCTTTATTTTTTTTCCTTGGACATTTCATTTACGTCTTATTCCACGTAAACGGACCGTCAATATTTTCCCTTTCAGCTTTCCCTTTTTGCACACGCACGAAACGCATTCATCCTTTTATTTTTTTCTTTGGTAAGCCTAAGCTTAGATCCGGCCTTATATTTCAAAGTCAGACAGAAAGCGAAAAGGAAAACACCGACCGAAGCAGCAACAATTGCTAGTTTCATCCTTTTTTCCCCCCCATTGTTGGTTGATATGCTTCTGCTGCTGACGCCGTGGAAAACCGAGTTGGTGGTTTGAAAATCCTCCCCATCCCCATCAAAAAAAAAAGAGAGGGTTTCCAATTAAAACTGCTCCTTTTTTTTATATCCAATTTTAATTAAAATCCCGCTCGCTCGCTAAGTATTAATTATCATTCCTTTAGAGAAAAAAAAATTGATGATGCGAAACAATTTGCTCTCTCGGACAGCGGAATTTCGGATTTCCCGCCAAGCGCGCGCATTAATTACAAGAACGAAAGAATAAACGACACTGTTTTGATTGAAGCTCAACTAATTGCATAATAAATATTGTTGGAAAAGCTTAGTTCCAAATTTCCAAAACAGTAGAATTGCTTTTAATACTACAACTAACTGAAATTATAAAATTCTTGAGAGATATCAGCAATAAAAAATGAAGGGAAATTCCGGAAGTGAATCGAGAGGATTAGAGTGTAATTGCACCCTGATGGAATGTATTTAAACGAATAAACCGTAGCCGCAGACCGGCGGTAAATCCAGTCGATCCTGTTTATGCGGTCGCGGCAACCTGATTGTCCCCCAGGAACTCCTGGAGGAGCAAAGCAACGAGGATCTCCGAAAAGCGCAAAAAATAAAAATAAAATAACGAAAAAAACATCCACAGCGCTAACACCATTCTCTTTATGTCGGGGGAGAAAATGAAAAGCGAGGGAGCAAATCGCGTATAAAAAAAAAGAAAATAAGAGAGATGAGAAACAACAACAGGAGTAACCCCCAGGAAAACGGGTTTCGGGTTTCTTTATAAATAAAATATCAGAATGAAAGCGGCGTCCGTTATTTATTTTTTTTCTTTCCATCCTTCCTTTTTACTCATCGCAAAACGCGAAAGTTTCGAATCGCAATAATCGCTATTTCGTCCCAAAATTAATTAGCGACGTTATCTCGTTGTTTTCTCTGGTATTAATTAAGGCGACGACCTTCGGGGCGCTAATTAGGGCCCCGTTTTCCGATCGCAATTATCTTTGGATTAATTGAATTACATCTATACTAATTATCGTGCATATTTGTGAGGAAATTCTCTAAGAACATGTGAAGATGTTTTTGCATTATTTTTGTTGTTGTCGCGTTAAATCCATGAGACCGATGAAACGGGTACATTAGAGAATGTAGTATAAAGGCTTTCAGAGATTAGGGATTATTTTTGGATTAATTGAAATACATCTATACTAATTATCGTGCATCTCTGTGAGAAAATTCTCTAAAAACGTCTTTGCATTATTTTTGTCGTTGTCGCGTTAAATCCGTGAGATCGATAAAATGGGTGCATTAGAGAATGTAGTTTACTATAAAGGTTTTCAGAGATTAGGGATTATTTTTGGATTGATTGCAATACATCTATACTAATTATACTGCATATTTGTGAGGAAATTCTCTAAAAACGTCTGAAAATGTCTGCATTATTTTTGTCGTTGTCGCGTTAAATCCGTGAGATCGATAAAATAGGTGCATTAGAGAATGTAGTTTAATATAAAGCTTTCAAAAATTAGGGATTATCTTTGGATTAATTGAAATACATCTTTACTAATTATAGTACATATTTGTGAGGAAATTCTCTAAGAACATGTGAAGATGTCTTTGCATTATTTTTGTTGTTGTCGCGTTAAATCCATGAGACTGATGAAACGGGTAAATTAGAGAATGTAGTATAAAGGCTTTAAGAGATTAGGGATTATCTTTGGATTAATTGAAATACATCTTTACTAATTATAGTGCATATTTGTGAGGAAATTCTCTAACGTTTGAAGATGTCTTCGCGTTATTTTTTTTCTTTGTCGCGTTAAATCCGCGAGCGTTTATGGCCGATAAAATGAGTGCATTAGAGAATGTAGTTTGCCGTAAGGGCTTTCACAGATTAGGGACTACTGTATCGTCCATTCTCTTCGCGATGGTCTAATGATATTTAACTCATATTTACTTCTTATCGTCATCTTTATGTTACTGTTACTACCGGAATCAAGCTGCGTTACAACCATAGAACCTGTTGATGTTTTACACATAACATTTAATTCTTTTGCAATTCATAAAGTCTACAATATAGACTCTATGTAGAACAACTTTATTAATATATTGAAAAAAAAATGATAATTCGTTAAATATCGATCTGCGGCATGATTCATAACTATTTTCTAGATCAATTGGTTTTGGAGTAAGTGTATTCCTACGTTATATTGGCAACGAAAGTTATGGTTTATAATGTAGACCATTATATGAAATAAAGTAAATTAAATTCAAAGTATTATTAAAATTTTCTTTTATGCCTTTTTTTCAATACTCTTTGAATTAAGTAAATTTTTATTTAAAAACTTCAACTGAAAAAGGTAATTATTTTAATAAAAGTAAATAAATAATTAGATTTAATTATAATAATGTAATAGATGAAAACGCAGCTGTTCAATAAAAGCGCAGGTGTTCAAATAAAACGCAGGTGTTTCGCAGGTGTTCAAATAAAACGCAGATGTTTCGCAGGTGTTCAAATAAAACGCAGATGTTTCGCAGGTGTTCAAATAAAACGCAGATGTTTCGTAGGTATTCAAATAAAAAGCAGGTGTTCAATTAGAACACAGGTGTTTCTCGTTACGTGTCTATATTTGGCAATGTTATATGATTTTATTGTATTTTTATCAATGCAGCTGCAAAATTGTATCTTTGTTTGAATTGTAATATAAATATGTTTTATTGATAAATTATTGATCTTAGAGGAGATATGAAAAATTTTCTAGAATTACAATTTTCATCCCCTCGTACATCATATATGATTTTTTGTTTTTAATCAGAGGAGGCGACAATATTATATTCTTTTTAAAGGGGGTGCAGTAAATTAAGTACATTTTTATTAAAAAAACTCCAATTCAAAAAAAGTTAATTATATTAATGAAAGTAAATAAATATTTAGATTTAATTATAATAATCAAATAGATGAAAACGCAGCTGTTCAATAAAAGCGCAGGTGTTCAAATAAAACGCAGGTGTTTCGCAGGTGTTCAATTAGAACACAGGTGTTTCTCATTACGTGTCTATATTTAGCAATGTTACATGATTTTATTGTGTTCTTATCTATGCAGCTGCAAAATTGTATATGTGTTTGAATTGTAATATAAATATGTTTTATTGATAAATTATTGATCTCAAAGGAGAATTGAAAAATTTTCTAGAATTACAATTTTCATCCCCTCGTACATCATATATGATTTTTTTTTGAATCAGAGGAGGCAACAATATTATATTTTTTTTAAGGGGGTGCAGTAAAATAAGTACATTTTTATTTAAAAACTGCAATTGAAAAAAAGTTAATTATATTAATAAAAGTCAATAAATATTTAGATTTAATTATAATAATCGAATAGATGAGAACGCAGCTGTTCAATAAAAGCGCAGGTGTTCAAATAAAACGCAGGTGTTTCGCAGGTGTTCAATTAGAACACAGGTGTTTCTCATTACGTGTCTATATTTAGCAATGTTACATGATTTTATTGTGTTCTTATCTATGCAGCTGCAAAATTGTATATGTGTTTGAACTATAATATAAATATATTTTATTGATAAATTATTTATATCAGAGGAGATACATGAACTCATTTATTATTCAATAGAAGTAAATCTTACAGGTAGTTAAGTTTTATTCAAGGTTATTGCTTATTTTTCAAACGTATTCATTATTGCGAAATTTCTGTTTTAACAGAGTTTATATTTGAACTGAATATAATTAAATTGAATCTTATAAGAAAATATCTATATCCAATAGACTGTTACATGTAGTTCAGATATTTTTCAAGGTTATTATTTGAACTCATTACTCATACGAGTTTAATCTTCAATTAAATTGAATCTTATAAGAAAATATGTATATCTAATATAGAGTTACAGGTAGTTTAGTTCTTTTTCAAGATAATTTCTTATTTTTCAAACGTATTGATAATTGTGATTTTTTTTCTTTAACAGAGTTTACATTTGAACTGATACGAGTTCAATCTTTAATTAAATCTAATAAGAAAATATCTATATTTGTCTGAGATTATGCTCTTCATATTTAGTTTCTTATTAAACTATGTTCATCTTATTAAGGTTTACTGAGACTATATCAGTCTTTGAAGGTTTTACTGAGACTAATTCTAAATACTTATTATACTTACAAAGTTAATTAATAATATAAAGTTTGGAAACCACTGATTGTAGTACATTCAAAAGTAATACATAATTTCTTCTAGATGAATTGAATTTAATGGACTGATGTATGTAGAAAACGGGAAAGAATCGATTTTTTGAAGGAATAGATTTTGTTTATATCATTATATATATATGGAGTTAATCAAGATCTGGGACGCAACGTCAACTTGCTTTGACATGGAAAATAAGTAAATAACGTTTTCGCAAAAAAAAAATACTCACTCGCAGATGAAACCCAGAAAGGCCGAAGCAATTTCCGCTCTGCAAGAAGAAACAAGATAAATATGTTAAAATGATCTGCGCACAACCGTAAACATGATGCGGCATATTATATAACATGCATACTTTATTTATTTATTTTTTTCATTACTTAATGTCGTGCAATGCTCATGCACTTCGAGAATATACTAAATATAATTCGAAAGGGGACTCCCCTCGTCTATAAAGATGATGTTGATGGTAACGAGTTCGGAACGAAGAGCTCTTTCACCTAGAAAGCTTCAACCCAAGCCAAGGATACCAAAAAAAAAATAACTCGAACTGAAAATAAATATTATCGTTTCGCGAGTTTACTGCGGCCGGAACAAATCTAATAATGTTTATTATTCTGCGAGCGTAACAGTATTATTATTTTTTTTTATATTTTGATTAAAGCGAATCGAAAACATTTCCGCGAAAGCAAATAAATTGAACTTTTGATGGGCTTCATTCGGCGAACGAACGGTTTCATTTACGATCTTCCGTTCGTTCGGTTCACATTAATGACCGCATGTGTATAGTTATTGTTATATAGCTATACTTATTTTAATTACGTACAAATATAAGAGACATGACCATCTCCCGCTTTCGGATATAAAGATTTCAATCAATTTTTAGTGAACATTAGTAAACTGATGTTTGAATGGGCTGTTAAACTGTTATCGAACTTTGATTTATAGCTGTAATTTTTTGGAGATCTTTAAGGATACTTTTATAAGTGTTGCAGTTTTTATAAGGATTTATTTTCTTAATTACAGACTTAAACTTTGTGATATAACATAAACAAATTAGTTCAAATCAATATTGAAAATATTACTTTACATATATTAATATCACTTTATCATTAAGTTAATCCAATTAGTTCAAATCAATACTGAAAATATCATAAGCATTCATATATTAATACAACTAAGTGATAGTATATCAGTATGTTATGAAGGTAATCCAATTAGTTCAAATCATTACTGAAAATCAGATTTTCCTGTTTAGAATTTATAATTCAACTTAAATTTTGTGATGTAAGATAATCAAATTAGTTCAAATCAAACCTGAAAATATCATAAGCATTCATATAGTTTAAAAATTAGTTCAAATCATTACTGAAAATCAAATTTTCTTGTTTAGAATTTATAATTCAACTTAAATTTTGTGATGTAAGATAATCAAATCAGTTCAAATCAAACCTGAAAATATCATAAGCATTCATATATTAATACAACTAAGTGATAGTATATCAGTATATCATGGAGGTAATCCAATTAGTTCAAATCATTACTGAAAATCAGATTTTCCTGTTAAGAATTTATAATTCAATTTAAATTTTGTCATATAAGATAACCAAATTAGTTCAAATCAAAGCTGAAAATATCATAAGCATTCATATATTAATACAACTAATTGATAGTATATCAGTATATTATGAAGGTAATCCAATTAGTTCAAATCAGATTTTCCTGTTTAGAATTTATAATTCAACTTAAATTTTGTGGTGTAAGATAATCAAATTAGTTCAAACCAAACCTGAAAATATCATAAGCATTCATATATTAATACAACTAATTGATAGTATATGGAGGTAATATAATTAGTTCAAATCATTACTGAAAATCAGATTTTCCTGTTTAGAATTTATAATTTAACTTAAATTATGTGATGTAAGATAATCAAATTAGTTCAAATCAATACTGAAAATATTCTAATCTTAAATATATTAACAAAACTAGGTGCAAATATATATATGTTATATAAATAGGAGAGAATTTAAGTAGTTCAAATAAATATTGGAAAATGATAACCTTCAGTATTGAACTAGTTGCATATATATCATTCAGAAAATTCAATTAGTTCAAATGGCCACCGATAACATCCTAACCTTTAGTATATTATTATAACTAATTGCAGCTAACCTAATTAGTTCAAATGATTATCGAAAACATCCATCAATATATCAATTGCACTTAGTGCGTAATTAGAATGCAAACTGTGCTTTTTTTATTGCAATTTATATAAAAAAAAAAACGATACGAACGACGTTATAAAAATACGTAATTACGTTACGGCGCCACTGCGTTACGTAAACTAATCCTAATTAAAGTCCGCCCCGTCTACTCTCGGAAAGAAATATAAGCATTATAAACTCCAGAGTCCTTAATCTTCTCTGATTACAAGCGAACTAAGATCCAGGGGGTCTCGCCATTAAACTTACATAGTATTCACTAAAGTGCGCTCTTAAACTCGCCGTTTTTCTTACATAACACCATCCCTCTACCCCATCTCGATGTAAACAGTCGCACAGACAGAGAGATAGATAGAGTACGAGGGTCGTCGCATAACTGCTTAAAAATGATTACATGCAATAAACGGATGCGCGCAATAATAAAAGCACGTACATCTGTAGTATGCACTTATATTTTAATCTAGTTTTTACGTCTTATTTACTATGCATTACAACGCACAGAAGTAACTCGTGTATAAAAGTCATTTCTCTCCATTTATGAATGTTCAAAGTTTATTATATTACTTATTTAGTTCTGCTGGAATATTTAAATATGTATTAAACATACAGTTAAAATGTTATTTTTTTTTGTTGAAATTACAAAATTTAAGACATAATTTTTAAAAGAAAGTATTTAATAAACTTATGTAATTTAATACAACTACAATAAGATACATTCTTTGTAAAAAAAAAGATTTTTCTATTGACTTGTATTTCTTAATATGTATTAAAGATCTGTAGTAAACTATAAAATTACAATTGTATAAATGCTTTGTAATAGGTAGTGATGATCCTGTCGTTTTCTGGTGGGAAGATAGAGATTTCGAGGCGTGTTTCCTTTTTTGGTGGAAAACGTTTAAAAAAAAAGGTCTGGCTTTAATGACCGGGAAAGGCTGATCTCAGGTTTTTCTTCTTTTTCCGGGGTGGATTCGAGAGAGAGAAAAAAATCTGACACACGCTAAATGATGATAAATCCGCAACTGGACGCTGGATGGATTCGATGGTACAGCACCATCCGACCCGGAACTTTCTTCATCGTGTCTGCTCTCAATTGCTCTGACCTCATAACTAACCTTTCTCCTCTTCATTAACAGATCGATATTTCTGTTGCCACATCCAACAGAAACTTTGTTATGCATGAAAGTTATCAGAATTATACCCATGTGATGAATGCAATATGAATTACATGAATAATTTGAAACTTACTTCATAGTTTCAATATTGTTTAAAGATTGTTACAAAATTAAATTGGTAATTTTTAAACTTTATATATGTTATTTTCAGTGTAAACTATCAATTAGTGAAAATATTATTGATTTGATTGAATTATATATTTAAAATTTTATAATTTTAAGATTTCAAATGAGGAAACTATTGGAAACATTGTTTAAAATTTATTAAATCATATTGCCAAATGAATCTTGTATGTAAAAGTGTAATTAAGTAGAGAAAATATTATTGATTTTATTGAAATTTATATTGAAAACTTACATCATTTTTAGACTTATAATCGGAAAGTGTTGGAATTATGGTATAAAATTATTAAAATGTAACAAATCAATTTTTTTTTTGTATTTTGCTAAATTATAGATTTCCAAATGAATCTTGTATGTAAAAATGTAAAGTTGATTTTATTGAATTATATATTGAAAACTTACATAATTTTTAAATTTAGTATCGGAAAGTGGTAGAATTATGGTATAAAATTGTTTAAAATTTAACAAATCAATTTTTAATTATATTTTTTTTAGGTATCCAAATGAATCTACAATGCAAAATTGTAATTAAGTATAATGTTTAATAAAAAATGAAGTAATTTGTGAGCAAAGAATATTGAAATTGCTTCAATTTCTGAAATTGTACATGAATCTTCGTGCCAATAAAACAGAGAGATATGAGGGAATTCTTTGCGAGTTAATTGAAAGTCGAGTATAGCGATTTTCTTGTAGCGTTGCAAATTTTCCGGTTACGTAATAACAAGGAAGACAAGGGATGTAGGGGGTCGTTCGTGCGCGCCACAATGTCTCTCCTCTTCCGCACTAAATGCATCCATGTGTGGTGCTGCTGCTGCTGCTGTCGCCGTGTATATACTTGGGTGGTATGTGCCAAGTTTGCGGGTAATGAACACAAGTTAGAGCAAAACATTAATGATTATGTACTCTAACACCTTTAATATCGTCGCAGGGGCTAAGTAAAGCAGTAAAACGAAGCCGATGTGGCAATATCGCGTAGGTTATTAAATATGTGGATGATGGCACTTTGGAGGGTGGCCTACAACTACCTAAGGCTTAAATTTAAGTAGAATCCTTCTTCTCATCCCCCCCCTTATTTATTCTCATCGTTTTCTTATTTTCTTTCGGTTCTTCCCTCGTTTTATTACGTGACGAACATCAATAAAGGCTGCTGCAACACGTGCACCGCCGAAATGCAATTTTCAACCGCGCCCTCAAATTTGCCTCTCTGTACGTTCATATTTCCATTGCATCCAATTTCCCGACGAACCCGGGAAGAGAAAGAAATTCACAAAGAAGTTTTCCAGCCCACTTGCTTCTAGTGTCAATTAAAATGATATCAAACGTTTCTACAATTATTTTTACATTAATTCATATTTGAAATAATTTAATAATGATTTTTCATTATCTTAATTAATTCTGTAAAAAAAAATCCTGAAACCAATTAAAATTGACAATTCAAATTAATAATCGATATTAGAAACTTTTCTAATGTTTTTTTTTTTAATATTTTCTGGATAAACTTTTATATATAATTTCTCAAATTCTAAGTGAAATTAATTTAATAAATGCAAGAATATAATAAAGTTAATTTAAATTGAATGTAGTTATAATGAAATGGGTTTTCATACTAAAATTGATTAGTTTAAAGAAGTTGCTTAGAAGTGGTAAGTAAATAAGAGGAAAAGCGAAACGTATTTTTTATTTATTTGTTCGACTTTAATGCGATTACGTTCTTGTCTGCGCTATAAACATGATTTAAAGTAAAAGCATTTAA